TAATTTCGTGTACTTCTGAACTGAGACATTATTTCCTTGCAGATAGTCATGCCGACATTGTTTGCTAAATGCACCATTATTTCCCCCGGTGTTTTTCACTTATCAAATACTCATTTGTACTGTAATATACTGAGCTTTTCATTCTTTCACTGCTCTCTATGCTGTTCCTATATAAAATCTGATCATTTTAAGCTTGTCTCATGGATTCAAAAAGCCTGTGATATGTATTCTGCTTCACTATTTACTATGTGAAATTTAGAGAATTTCCTACCTCCTCTGTGCCTCCATCTGTATCCACCTCATATGTGAGGCTGGTGTGAAAATTCAGTAAAGTATGCGGAGGGCGGAGCTCGCCTGGGAGCCCCGCCCCGAGCCCCGCCCACGGGCTCTGCGGGCTGCACGAGGTCGGGCGCCCCGCTCCGCCCGCCAGGAGGGCACCCGCACACAGAGCCCTTCATGGAAGTTCAGCGAGACACAATGAAGTGAAAATTCATTGAGAGTCAACTATACTGCATGACGTAAAAAAAAAAGTGGTCTCACATTCTAATGTCAACCATAAGCTGAAGGTCCTCTGTGGCACGAATGAGACCATATTTCTCTTCTTGATTCCCAAATGGGTCTAAAGATATTTGCAATTATGTCCCTCTCTGTGAGGAGTCAGAATTCATTACTTTTTAGAGACATAAAAATTCAAATTCTACAGTCCAATGATTATATGAAATCAAAGGATTGAATAAATTAATGAAAGAAAGACTTTTTATTTACATGTTAACTTAGTCATTTAAATAAGTAATTAAAACAAATAGATTAGTAATTAAAAGAAGACATAAAAAGTGAGAAAACTTGACATAAACCTAATATACATCATTGGGGGAAGTGTAATCTCTTTGAGATGTAATTTATAGAGATCTGATTAAAATTATTGAATAAACTGCATTGAAACAGCAATTATAGAATTCACCACACTGAAAAGTAATATACACAATCTCCCCACTCAACAGGATGCGTGTTTCCATGCTTCCATGTTCACTGCCTAGCTTTTCAATACACAGCGCTGGTGCCGCCCATTGTTACCTGACGTGTAAGTGTAGTATCATAGTTTTCTGTGTTGATTTAGTATAATGTCATACATATTTTCATATCACTACATAGTCTTCATAACTCTTATTTTCATGGCTCCATGATATTTCATGTATCCTTATTTACTTATTTCTCAATTCAGATATTTTCACTATTTCTTGCCATTTTTTAGGTTATTTATTTATGAAAAATCCCCTGGAATGTGCTAGGATGCATAAATATTTCTATTGGTCTTCAACGTATTGCTAAGTTGCTTTCCAAATACCTGGAACAATTTAAAGGATACAATGAATGACTGTGTCAACCTTACCACTTCTTGTCACCACTGGTATTATTAACAAAAAGGACATATTAAGTATGAATGCCACACGTGAAAAGAGACTGATTCTGAACGGGCGCTAGGCCAGCAGCGGTGGGAGGGAGGTCAAGCCAGCCTGTCTGCGGACCACCTGGGCTTCCTCACCTGAGAAAAGAAGTTCGAATTTCCAAAACTGTTCTGCTTTCCATATCTGATTCTCAAGCCAAGTGCTGAACCACCTGCCTATGAGATGCAGTTCTGCTGAGAACTTCTGCTCTGCTATGTGTTAGGAGAACTGGAGAGATGGTGCTGAATTCCCTTAAGAATTACAGACACCATGAAATCTATCTGCTTCAGCTCAGCAAAATGCACTAAGTCCATTTTAAATGCACTTCTACTGAAAAGAGACAGAGACAGAAACAGAGGGTGGGAGAGAGGGAGAGAGAGAGAGAAAAGGAAGACGGAGAGATGGAAGGAAGGAAAAAGAAGCCATTGTTTCACTCAGCAGAGAAAGATTCACGAGGTTTTTCAGAAGCCAGGCAACCATTGTCCAAGTACCTGAAGACCCACTTGGGTCCATGCACCACATTTACAGCATTTCCATTTTTCAGGGGTAAAAATGGGATCCATAATGGAACAAAGACCTTTTTATAATTTGTTGATTTTGCTGACAAAAGAGCCTTATAGGAGCATAAAAATAAAATACATAAAGTTTGATGTTTAGATTATTTTAAAAATAAGAGTATAAAATACAGTGTCCTGGAATTCCTGGGATATAAAATCTTCAGTTCAGTTGAAAGTTGGTTTAGGCTTCATGATTTATCTCTAGACATGGAGAGACTGGTGGTAACACCAGCTTGGAAGACACAGCCTGGCTCTGGGGAGTAGCCTGGCCCCCACTCCACGGGAAAGGGCTCAAGGGTGAGCGACACAGAGCCCACTGCCACCCTGTGGCCCTGCTCGGGCCGCCCCTCTCTCCTCCCCACCTGAGCTCCATGCTGCCAGGCTCCCCGGTCTGGCCTGATACACTGCGCCACACGCAGCACGGGACGTACACCCTCCCCACCCTCTCAGTGCTCCAGAGACGGGGGATGGAGGGGCCTGGAGACCCTACAACTGGCCTGAGGCCCTCTCACTGCTGAGCATTTGTTGGCATCCCCTTCCACTGGTGCATCCCGGGAAGTCACTCGGAGCCAGCAGGAGCTGAACTCAAACACTTGGATACCCCAGTGTGACCTTGTGCGTGAAGGGTCTGCACTTAGTGACCCGGGAAAGAGAATGAAGTCAGAGGACAAGGTTGTAGGGAGTATTTTAAAATTCTGCTGACCCCCACATTCACTGCTTCGCTTCTGTTTTTCTGCCAGTTTCTGATTGTTTTATAGACCGACCTAAAAATCACAGCTGGCCTCGCATGGGGCACCACCCTTCCCCTCTGGATTCCCAATGAGAAGAGACCACCTGGCCAGTCGCCACAAAGGCCAGAGGGCAGAACAAGAGAGCCACCGCTCTCCACTCCTGCTCTGGTAGCTGCAGCTGGATTCTGCCAACTCGGGGCCCTCCACACACCACGCTCTGCCTTGTCCACACAGAGAGCAGACCGACAGTCCATGCTGGACGCCCCAGAAGGCCCGTAGTCCAGGCCGGTGGAGGAGACAGCAGCTCTGACCCGGAAAAGGAGCAATTAAGGCACAAGAACTTACTTAAACCCGGTGCTTCCATGTTCTGCATCATCTGCAGGCCCCTAAATGGACGTTTCCTCCTTTTGGGGTCTGTTTATAGGAGTGCTTACATGTAGCTTTGAGACAGGAATAAACTAGGCATGATCATGAATAATAACGATCAGGCTGTACACACTGGGTGCTCAAAACTGTTTGTAATACGAGTGAATAAATGACAATTTAAGAAAAAACAACTGCAGTTCTATGGAATAAGTGCCAATTAGCAAGACGAGGGTGTTTTCCTTTTTCTTTACCCAGTGTGGTTTTTGAAGTCGCCTTATTACTCGGCTAAAAAAAACTTCAGTTAAAATATATGATCTGTCACAAGCTATTGATTTGAGGAAGAGAAGGCAGCTCATGTTCCTGTATTTCATCACTAAGTGCAGCTGTATGAACAGCACCCTGCTTTTACTAACCTGACATGCTCACAGGAAATATCGATAACATTCTGACATTAAAAGGCACTTATCCTCAGCAACCGTCTGATCATTTTCTCTTCTCGATTAATATTAGAAAACCATTTCTGCAACTTCAGTATTTTTAAGTGGGTTAAATCGTATTTTCTTAGGAGAGTAATTCTCGCAAAGATGCTTTTTACAACGCAGAAACACAGGCCACATCCATTCATTCTGGGTCTCACTTGGTGGAATACTACGATTCAATAAAGCTACCATTTCGGGAAGTGCGCCTCTCTGCCACCTTGCCAGAGCCCCCTTACACCAGCAAACAGGCCACGTAAAGGGTGTGACCCATTTAATACTAAAACTCAGTAAAAAAAATTTTTTTAAGGAAAAGGAAGCTTTACAGTAAAAAGAAAAGAAATAAAACTATGGACATAGCACGGTAAGTGCTCCCAAGGATGGGAGAGAAGGAGAGCAGCATAGCCATGGGCCCAGGGGTGGGACAGAAATGGAGCCATCCATCCACCGTTTCTTGTCCCTGGGACAGAGGTTCCGGGGACCGGCTGGAATCACACCCGGCCCATGCAGGACTCTGAAAAGCTCAAGCACTGACCCTGGGCCCAGAACCCTTACCTGTAAAACCAGGGAGCTGACTGGTGTTTTCCTACGGCCTCCTGTAATCCCTGGGGTCCAGGATCCTAGATTCCAGTGTGTCTAATTCACACCAGAGCTGTGTGGATTGTGGATTGTTCTCGTTCAGATCTGTGACCTGTTTCAATTCTTGCTTTATGCACAGACTTAGCTTTAGCATCTTCCTCAGGTTTCCCCACGTATTGGGAAAGAAAATAATGGACTCCCAAAGTTGAGGATGGATTCTTTCTAATAATGGGCATGGACATATTGTAGAAAAATTAATTCTCTTTAGATTGATTTTTGTATGTAATTCAGGCAATGTTGTTAATAAATATCTTTAGCTGTCCATGAACTCCAAATCCTACTGTCATTTTAAATCTTTGGAAAAACAGGTTTTCTCAGATTATAAAGCAGTGATATTCATATCGACTCAGTACTTCTTTTAAGCTTAAACTTCACTTAATATCAGAGTGAGTACAGTCAGCCTAAATTAATATTCTCTGTGCATGTGGACATGATTTTTTTTTTAAAGAGATTGAGCAGGTCTCCTGAACTATTCTCTGTGCATTATTGCAATTGTTCTGTAAATGTGTGAAGCCCGAGGACTTTATCTTTCAATTATATATGATACGCAACACTTGTTTCCAACACCTGCAGAGAAATTTCCCCGCACACAGAAAGAAACTGCTTTCATCTGATTAAATTAGTGTGGTTTCAATTTCACATTATCTTTACTTGCTCAGCCTATAGTATTACAAGTTCATTGCTTCTGCTCAGCTATACTAAAGTTTGAAACCTAAAGTCATTTTCTGCTTTATTGACTTGAGGGGGGAAACGGAAATTATCCTGGTCATTAAAGAGAATACTTACAATTTTTTTGCCTTCTATTAACACTGTAGAAGTATTTGTTTCCACATTCCGCAGTATCACACTTCCTTTCTGTTCTCTGTAGATGAATTCTTTATCTACAAGAGAGGAAATGAAAAGGAAACATGAAACTTCAAGGAAGTCACCCAAGGCTTTTGACTGGACAGTTACACAAAATGAATTGACTAGTTCTGACAAGAATACATCCTGCGTTTCATCAAAGGGTCCTTTAAATGTGGTGAAATAGATCAGCTCCTCGCAATACGAACTCATGTGAAGCTCCTCTCTGAATCGTCCTACTCTACTCAGGGGCATATACCCACAAAATCTCTAAGACATTCTAGAACTTTCTCCAGTTGAACACGCAGAGTAGACACACAGAGCAGATTAAGAAACCCTCTAGAATAAGGAGCAGGTGACAATTAGCACCGCTTTCCTGTATCTGAAACTGGGGTGAAATCTGTACCCATGCACAGCCCTACGGCCACCTTCTGCACGATTGTTTGCATTTTGCCCACAAGCTTCCTTTATTACTCCTGGAGAACTGGCAACTTCGCTGTCAGGAATATCTTGGAATCTATACGTGGTATCCTTGGGGACACTGGTTCTTTGTACAATCAATGGAGATTTCAAACATCCCCTGAGAAAATTAATAAAACACACTGACTGGTATCCATGTAGATGGAGATATGGACGCACGTGTGTGTGTGTATACAAATACTACAACTGACAGGGTTAACTTTCCCAGAGACAGGATGGCTGGCGGAGAGACAGAGCACGCAAATGGGGAGAAGACAAAGTGCCCTCCTTCTGGGTGAAGGCGGCAGCACTGGGCAGTCTGACGGTGAAGGCATTTCACACCACAGTTCAATGAAAAACGGCACAGACTGGGTTCATTCAAATGGTCCCCTTTCTTCAAACTAATTTGTAGAATTATGTTCTTTCTTATGTCTTTCTTCTACTTGTTTTGGCTTCAATTTTCTCAAGTTTGTTAAGGTGGGCGCTTTGATCTTTGTTTTGACTCTCTATCCTTTCTAATAAAATTGTTAAAGCTAAAAATTTCCCTCTGTGGATGGTGTTAGCTACATCTCACAAATTTTGATAGGCTGAATTACATTATTATCCAGATTGAATTATTTCTGATTTTCTCTGTGATGACTGCTGGGCCCAGTGATTATTTAGAAATGTGTTAATTTCCAAATATGTACAGTTATTCTGGCCCTGTTATTTTTAGAGATTTTTAATTTAAAGTCACTGGTTCAAAGAATACTCTGTACGTGATTTGTCTTGTAAAGCCCATTAAGGCATTTCTGTGGCCCGTATCACTGAGTCCACCCTGGTAAATGCACCGTCTGCACGGTCGGTGGAATCACTGGTGCGGCTGGGCTGGGCCTGTCACTGGCTCTGCTCGGTGTGTTGTGTACTTGTCTCCTCCACTTCTGGTTTCCTGCCTTTCATTTTATTGTTTGAATACATTTTTAGAATTTTAATTTCCCTATTTTTAGCTCTACCTCTTTGCCTTCCTTTTAGTGATTATCCTAGACATTACAGACTCTTAACTTTTCACAGCCTACCAAGAGGTGCTGGTGCACTGCTTCTCCTAAAATAGAGAAATCTGTCAGGTGTTCAGGTCCACACCCAGTCCCATGCTGTTATAATTATGTGTTACAGTGACATACTTCCTATATTCCACAGGACGTTATGATCATTGTTATAACACATTTAGTGATATTTTTATCATTTATATAGCCTTTAGAAAGAAATCAGGAAGAAAAAGTTACAAAGAAAAAACTGTCTTTTGTATTTACCCAAGATCCTTTAGGATCTTGAAATTTTGTTCCAATCTCTTCTGATCACCATGCTTTCCTATAAAAAGTCAGCTCTTAATTGAAGTGTTTCCATGCAATTTTCTTTTTTTGCTTTCAAGGTTTATTTGTTGTCTTTGGTTTTGAACAGTTTGACCACAATGCACTTTAAATTGGACTTCTTTGTATTTGTTTGATGTTTGTAGAGTATCTCGTATTTACAAATCTGTATCTTCACCAATCTTTAGCCATCAATTTGCCAAATATTTCTTCTACTCCTTTATCGCTCTCCTCTCCTCCTGGTATTCTCATTGCATATATATTGGAACGTCTGACATTATTTAACCATCTCTGATGCTCTAGTCACTTAAAATTTTCTTCTCTCTGTTCACCATGAATAATTCTACTGATCTATCACCAGAGTCACTTTGTCTTTCCTTTGTCATTATTTGACTGTCAAGTCTGTCCAGTGAATTTTTTTATTCTTCCATCCAGGAGTTTCTACTTAGTTCTTTTTATTCTTTCTATTTTTCTGCTGAGATTTCCCATTTCTCTGCTGAGATTTTCAGTAATTAAAAATGTGCTTCTGTTAATTCACTGAGGATAATTATAATAGTCCTTTTAAAATCCTTGCCTATCAGTTCCAAAATCTGTTTCATTTTGGGGTCAGACTCAACTAACTTTTTTTTTGAGAGTGTGTAGAATTTTTTTTTTGGTTTGTAAGGTAATTTTGCATTATGCCCTAGACATTCTGGGTGTTAACTTCTGGACGTTCTGGGTCTGGCGAATGTCCTCCCAGGAGCACTGCTTCCTGGCCACGTCAGGTGACTGTCTGGGCGAGGCTTGTGCAGCAGCCTCACTCTCCATTCAGCTATTTTATCTTGAACTGAGAGCTGCTGTGATTCTTTTTGAGGTTCACAGGTCAGCCTACTGCACCTTTATTTTCAATTTCGTTAATTTTTCTGTTCTACCTTATTATCCTCTTTTCTTAACTTTCAAGTTTCACAGCTTATTCTTTTCAGCATTTCTTCTTGTCTAATGTAATCACAACTGATGCTATAAAGTTCCTTAATGACTTCTTTTTTTCCCACGTTTTAATGGGTAGTCTTTTCAATAAGGCTTTGTTCTATGCATTGTTAGTGTCTGTCATGATTTCTTCTTCAACCTATGAATTACTTAGAATTTCTAATTTGCACATGTATGGGAAACATTCATTTCTCTTTTTGTATTGCCCTGTAACTTGCCTATATGTGGTCACAAAGACTCACATGGTTAATTCTTTGAAATCTGTTGACTGGTTTGTGGCCTGATGCATGATCCATTTTGTAAAAGGTTTCCTGATAGAATGCATATCCTCCAGTTGTAAGGTACAGGGTCTTTGTATGGTTGTTAAATTAACTATGTTGGTTGATTGTTAAGTCGCCTCTTCCTTAGCTAATTTTTTTGGTGTATGGAAATTTTCTAGTGTCCTCATGGGTTGGCTGATTCTCGCCTGCAGACCCCCCAGTTTTGTGTTATGTATTTTCTAGAATTTTCCTATCTTCCTGATTTGCAACTTTTATTTTTTAACTACATGTCCTATCTCTAATAATGCTTTTATAAATGGCTTCTCTTTTCTAGAAGAGGTAAAATAATGGTATGTAGCTGGTACTGCTCGTGTGAAGATGCCATGAGACAGTACACACAATGGCTGTGATGTGCTTGGCACTGTGCCCGGGGTGGTGAGCTCCCGGGGTGTGCCAGCTGCAGTGACCCCAGACTCCACGTCACCTGTGTCTCCTCTGCCTCCCTTACCCTTGGCACGCTATCCCTTGCCCGCTTGTCCTTCCTGCTCGGTCCTGCCCCGGGTCTGCCTCACTCTCTCCGCAGACGACTCGTGGCCTCCCGATGGGGCTGTCTTCCTTGGTCCTGTTCTCTGTGCAGACATGGTCACCCCTGTCTCTTAGAACTTTTTCATTTTCTGGCTCCTTGGGCAGATGACTGTGGCTGAACTCCTTAGCCTGACATTCAAGGTCCTCCCGTCCTGGCCTGGGCTTCGTGGGCCCTTCTGCTCTCCTACCATCCCGCCGTGGAGCATCCTGGACCCTGTGGTGCCTTTTCCCTGCCTCTTGAAGCCTCATGGTGCTGCAGCCTTGACTTGTGATGCCCACATCCCACCCCCAGCAGGTCAGGCCGTCCTGGACTCAGCATAAGAGGCTGTCCTTCGTGAAGCTGTTCATGCCTCTGCCCGGCACAGCCAACCCCTGTCTGCCCAGCCCCACGTGTCCTTCCTCCTGTCTTATGCTCATCACAGCAGTCAGGCATTTGCCTGGTACGGCTCTGTGTCCACCGCTGAGGTACATGACTCTCAAGGGAGGAGGCTGCTTCGGCATATGCTCTGCCACCTAGCATGTGGGCTGATTCACGACTAGGTGCTAAAATGCATCTGATGACTCTACAAGTTAATACTGTCACCAGTCTGATTCCCCCGGTTTCCATCTCATGTGTGAACCAGTGGGCAGGATACTCAGGTCAGAGCGCTGCTCTGGCTGCGGGGGCCATCCAGGGCCGGGTACAAGGGGGCAGGCGTGCATACGGCAGTCTTCTCAAACCACACTCCTGGGCCTGTCCATGAGATCCTGCTCAGCTGCTTGATCCCATCACTTCTGCGCAATAAGATGCTGCAGAGGGCAGGGGACAGGGCATTTGAGTGCCGTGAGGACAGGAAGCAAAGCCAGTGCTCCGCAGCTAGAATGTGCATTCATTCAATGCACGGGTACTTCAGTAATTCTCCAATGCTAAACTCAAAGAACAGAAATATGTTGCATTCATAGCAGGCACAAGGAAGAGAACTACTTTTCACTTTATTCTATTTTCCCCAATTGTGACATAAAAATATGTAGCAATGTAACAAATCACTTCTCTTAGTTTCCAAAAATAAAATTCTAATCATTTACTCCGAGTATCGTATGTAGCTGACTTTAAGTGTTGTTTATTTGCTTGACAATAATGTATATTTTAGAAGGCTTATGAAAGTCTCACCATGATGAAAAAATTTAAAAGGTAAGGTTTTTAATGGCACTCTAGATTTCTTAACAATTGAGTAAATTCAGTTCTCATTGTCAAGTATAATCTGTATATGCTGGTTGGCTTTGAAGAGCATTAATTCTTGATTATATAAATATCACATGATCACTGCATAGGAGTATATTTTAATTTAGGAAACAAATAATGCACATAATAAATGGAATAAATTTGATTTTTCTCATAGTTATCTTCTTTTGTCTTTAAATAATTGCTAATAGACATAGTGT